GAGCAGAATGTTTCTGACTCTTCCTACACTGACTGTCCTTATCCCACTGGTGTCCCTAGCGGGACTGTTCTACCCCGCCTCTGTAGAAGAAAACTCCCCCCAGGACTGCACCAGCACCACCAGCCTGTGCTTTTACAGTCTGCTCTTGCCCCTCACCATACCTGTTTATATGTTCTTCCACCTTTGGACTTGGATGGGTATTAAACTCTTCAGACATAATTAATGTAGCCAGAGCCAAGATGGTCTATAAAATAATGATATGTTTTGGGCCTCTTTCTCTGAAAGCTCAGCTAGCATTGAAATCCCATTTGGTTGGCAGGGAAGCTGCGCCTTGTTCCTGTCAGAGTTGGGACTACAGCAGACTGAAGCTGCAGCTGCTCTGCTCCCGCTCTTGTACCACGCCGAGGGTTTGAAGGATCTTGGGCCAGTTTATAACAACTGCTCTATCAGAAGAAACATTTTGACAAGATAGTTTGGAGATTAACAGGCCTAATCAGCTGATAACTTTATTCTTTATTTTCCCATTTTAACAGTTAATCTTTTGAAATACTGTTTGTTTGGATCCAAGCTCATGAGGCAAATCACATGTGAGGAATGACTGAAATAATCCCCAAGGAGCTTTTTAAAGAGTAGTTGTAGAGACGTGTATTTGAACTAGTGTGATAGAAAACCTTAAAATGAAATTTTCACATACTTGGCAAAAGTCTTAGTCTGTAAATTTACCTTGTGATTATATGAATACTAATAAAATGAGATGACAACACCCATATAGAAAAAAAAAGAATGTTCAAGCTATGAAACATTATCACGGATATCACATACCACTAACATTTTACTGAAGATCATCCAACAACAATGGCAGCAGTACATTGACAGGGGGTTCAGGCTGAATTCAGACAAAGATATGGGACAAGGAATACCATTGCTGATGTCAGGTGGATCTTGGCTGGAAGCAGAGAATAACAGAAAGATGTTTACTTGTGTTTTATTGACTATTCCAAAGCATTCGACTGCATGGATCATAACAACTATGGATAACCTTGAGAAAAATAGGGATTCCAGAACATTTTATTGTGCTCATGCAAAACTTGTACATGGATCAAAAGGCAGTTGTATGAACAGAACAAGGGAATAATACATGGCTTATACAGTGTTGTATCTGTCACCATACTTTTCAATGATTTGTTAAGCAAATCATCAGAGAAGCTGATGTATATGAAGAAGAATGTGGCACCAGGATTGATGGCAGGGTTATTAATAACCTGAGATATGCAGATGACACAACCTTGCTTGCTGAAAGTGAGGAGGACTTGAAGCACTTGCTGATGAAGATCAAGGATTGCATTCTTTAGTATGGATTATTGCTCAACGCAAAGAAGACCAAAATCCTCACAACTAGACCAGCAGGTAACATCATGATCAATGGAGAAAAGATTGAAGTTGTCAAGAATTTTGTCTTGCTTAAATCCACAATCAGTGTTGACACCAACCACGGCATTTTTCACTTTCATCATTTGCCTCTGGAAGTTGGACATTGAATAAAAAAGACTGAAGAAGAATCGATGCATGTGTATTGTGGTGCTGGAGAAGAACATGGAAAGTACCCTGGACAACAAAAAGTACAAACTGATTTGTCTTAGAAGAAGTAAGGCCAGAGTGCTCCTTAGAGGCAAGGACAGTAAGACTTCGTCTTACATATTTTGGGCATGGTGTCAGAAAAGACCAGTCCTTGGAGAAGGATATCATGTTTGGTAAAGTAGAGGGGCAGGGGGAAAGAGGAATGCCCTTAAGGAAATGAATCCACACCATGACTCCAACAATGGGCTCAAACATGCGGAAAACTGTGAGGATGCTGCAGGACTGGGTAGTATTACATTCTGTTGTGCACACGGTCATTGTGAGTCAGGACTAACTCAATGGCACCTAACAACATCTATCTTCCTCCCAGGACCCTCTTTTCCAGGTCACCCTTCATGCTGCTGAAATACTGATAAATCTAACCGTTCCTCTGTTTATAATCCTTCAGTCATTTTCACCTTCCCTCCACCCTCTCCCCATAAAACCCTTACTCAGATAATATCTGAATTCTTTAGTAGGATATTAAAGGTCATTCAGATCTTTCACCACTATTCTGTATGCTTCCCTTCAGCCACATTAAATAATATGCCATATGTCAATACAATATATATTTTCACACTGTCATGATTTTGAGCACACTGCTCATGACAGACAAGTCCTCTCTTGAATCCACGTTTTAAGTACCTATTCAATACTCAGGTCAAGAAAGTCCTTTGTGGTTCCATAGCACTTAACACTTACCCGGCAGTGGTACAAATCACATTGTTATGAAGACATTTGTTTACTTGACAAAATTGTGAGTTTCTTGAAGATACGGACTATGTTTTATTCATGTTTGTATCCCCAGCACCCAGAATGGGACCTGGAATTTTATAGTAGATCCATATATGTTTGCTGAATAAACATAGCTCTCACCACCGTCCCTATATTACTTCCATAACAATCACTATATACATTTCTTTACTAAACTCCCCTATTGCCCATCCCTGCTTCTCAGCAGTGCCGAACACTCCCGTCAAAATGTCTGTTGCCCAAGCAGTCATAGGAGTCTGAAACTGGTCCAACTATAAGGAGTGGAACAGGAGACAATGTTCTTTGTGTAGACCCTGAGCAATACCAATGTTGAGATCAGAGTTTACTCCCAAATCTCAGAGACAGCATTGCTGTCAACTTATTCAGATCCTAACCTTTAGTGTAGCAAGGGGGGAACATCTCAAGATCATTCCTATGTGATTAGACTTGACAGTTGACAGTTCAGACCTTGAAGCAATAAGAAGCACACATAAGCGTAACAGATATTTTTGCAGTGTCTGTAGAAAACCAACAGGATTCCTGGTGCGATAGAGGTTGGGATACTAACCACAAGGTCAGCAGTTTGAAACTACCGGCCACTATGCAGGAGAAAGACAAGGGTTTCTACTCCTGTAAATATTTATAATCTTGGAAACCCACAGGGGAAGATCTACCCTGCCCTGTAGGGTCACTATCAGAAAGCATCGGCTCAGAAGTGAGTTGGGTTTTTTGAGTAGAAAACCTAGGACCCTTTCTGAAGCTCTTCACTCTTGAATCCAGGATCTACATCATCCACAGAAGCAGAAAACAGGACATGCACAGTTTCTACTTTACTTTATTTTAATAATAATTTTAACGCCAATAAGAAATTATAGACACAATCAGAAAGTCAGTTTACAAAATAGACAAGCAAAAAGTAGACAAAAAGCAGCAAAGACAGATCCTTCACTCCAATAAATACAGAGCTCTGTTAATGTCCCGCATCAATATCCCATGGAGACCTAGACTGGGGTCAGGAAATGCATTACTATGCAGAAGGACCAGATGGCATCGCGATGTGATGATGTCAAATTGAGTGAGCACAGGAACTGCTGAGATCAAGGTCTACAGGCTTTGACTGGTCACTCTTAACCTCTTCCATGCTGTGCCGGATCCCATAACCAAAGTAGATAGCAAACCCTAATGAGAAAGTATTCACTTAAAAATGTTTTAATAAGTCTCCTATTTAAGACCAAGAGGGAAAAGAGTTGAGGCAAAATACCTAAGAGGTTTATTCTACCCAAATAGATACTTACCAATCAGCATCCAGACTCCAAATCGGGTCCAGGTGCCAGCTGTCATCTGCATCATAAGGTAAATGTTCACAAAGATGCTCACTAGTGGGAGAAGAGGTAAAGCAGGAACCTGGAGACAAAGTAAAAGCTTCTTTATAAATACTACAGGGTGTTCTAGAAAAAGACCCTCTATCCTATTAGACTAGGAAAAGGAAAATCCAACCCCTACTTATGCTGTATTTTTCAGTGCCCACTTATTTAGAATACCTCATACAAAATATCAAGAAAAGGCAGAATTTGGGAGAATGTAGCTATAAAGTAACTAAAAAGGGTCAGGGAAAGAAGGGTACCTATGAATTTTATTCAGGAGCCCTGATTGCAATGAGCTGCCAACCAGAAGGTCAGCAGTTCAAATCCACCAACCGCTCCATTGGAAAAAAATGAGACTTTCTGTTCCTATAAATATTTACAGTCTTAGAAAATGAGTTTTATTTGATGAACCTTATTAGACTTCAAGATATCTAGAGACTATTACTCCAAGGTAGGATGGTGGAAAAAAAGAAGTCCTTTACCTTGAAGTGAAGAGAAGTAGAGCTCTGTGGCTGTCTCCAGATGACCCAAGTGATACCAGTAATGAGCATCAGGAGCAGCACAACCACTGCAATCCACACTGGGTCTCCAGAAAGCAGTGGAATTGGCCTCTGAGCCAGCACCAGACATAGGATATTCATCAGGAGAGCTTGAAAAGTCCAATTGAAAGACATTAGAACCAACTCTTAAGTGCAATATGTGAAGAGGTTATGTTCCACATTCCAAGGAGGATTACTTTCATTCTACTTCAGCCACCAAATACCATATATACTCCCACCCCATCATGCTGGCCTTAAAGGGAAGTCCCATTGCTCACCAAGTAGTGTGGAACAAATATAAACAACTTGACCAGAGAATGCAGTGGGTATAGAGTTAAATGAGCAAAACACTCCCTGTAGAGTCAACTTCTTTGCTTCAGGCATCTTCTCCCCCTGCAACTCCGCTTCATCTTCCCTATTCTTTATCTCCTGGTCAGGCTGATACCTAAGGCAAGAATCAAAATAAAACAAACGAACTGTCATCAAGTCAATGCTGACTCACAGTGAGCCCCCTATGGGTTTCTGAAACTGTAACTGTTTATGGGAGTAGAAAGCCCAGTCCTTCTCCCATGAAGCTGCAGGTGGTTTCAAACTTCTGACCATGCGGATTGCAGCCCAATGCATGACCACTACACCACTATGGCTACTCCAAGACAAGAGTAGGAAAATAATATTAGGAACAACCCTTGACCACGTTACCATCTCCTTCCAGATAATTAAAGCTTCTGATTCACAATGTTTTAGCAGTAACAAATATCAAAGAGAACCAGAATGATGAAGGTAGATGAGAAAGAAGGAGCAAATCTTCATCTTTCATCCAAGAGTAAAATTCTGAATTACAGGATGCACAGGAAAGAAGTCTCACCTCAGGATGAGAACACAAATAGCCACCAGGGAGTAAGCAAGCAGGGTCCCAATTGACATGAGGTCCACAAGGTCAGTCAATTCAAAGAGAAATGCCATGAATGCTAAAAGTGAGGAGAAAAAAACATACACCAACAGGAATAACAAAGTTAAAAGAATTGATGAAACAAATATGGGGAAGAGAAAGTGAATTTTTTACCTGCAATAACTCCAGAGACCAGAGTGGCCACCATGGGTGTGTGTGTGCTAGTGTGGATCCGAGCAAGAACATGGAACAGGAGGCCATCGTCCGCCATTGCGTAGATCACTCGAGGCATGGGGAACATGGAGCCCAAGAGGCTGGAGAAAAGAATGCTCAGAGTAGCATGAGTTGGCTGAGATCTCTCTTCCTAACCTGTTTGGATAAGAGGGCTCTGCCTCTCCCTCACAACCCAAAGGATATTCTCTGGTACCTGAGACTCTAACAGCAGATGAGAAACAAACATTTGACACTGACCTAGTAGAAAGAGCGCAGAGTGAACCAACAGCCACAACATAGCGGGCAGGGGCCCATCCAATATGAAAAAATGCCTCAGGCAAAGGGCTCTCAGGTTGAAGCTGGTAGTAAGGCATCATTAGTGTGAGTGCAGAGGATACACCAAAATATGCCAAAAAGCAGACAAACAGTGAGATCACAATGCTCATAGGGATGGAACGCTGGGGATTCTGGGCCTCATCGCCTGCAGAAAGGGACATGTGTCTGAATTAGGGATGCGGGCTCACTGCTCTACCACCCATGAGCTGCATGCAGTCTGAGTAACACTGTGCCCAAACCCCATAGAGAATGAAATGACTCTGTTACCTGTGGTAGCAATACAGTCAAAGCCAACAAATGCATAGAAACAGGTAGCTGCTCCACGGAGAATCCCCTCGAAGCCGAAAGGCACAAATCCTCCAGATCCCAGAGGACCCAAGCTAGAGTGAAATAAGGGATGGAAGAGGTTAAGTCTATGTACCTTTTCTCTAGGCCCAGGCTCCCATTCCTCCCCACCCTTAATTCTAAATCCCTTAGTTTATACTCTGCCACCATGCTCCCAGACCCACAGCTCCTCAGAATGAATCTTCTAACCTATAAGTGCCATTGGGTCCAGGCATGGCCAATTCATAGTCTTCTTCAGTGAGCTTCCAGTTATGCAGCTTCCCCTTAATGAAGCCAGAGATGATGACAAAGCCAAGAACCAAAAGATTCACCCCTGTGAACACTTTGGTAACTAGGGCTGACTCACTAGCTCCCAGAGCCAGCAATCCTGTGGAAGAAATGCATTCAGAACTTGGGGAAAGGGTCCTCAGTCCAAGTTTGTCAGCATCCTTTTCCTTCCCAGATTCTCTTCTCCCCCACCATTATCACCTCCACCAAACCCTTCCTAGACCTGCTCCTCGTTCCCACTTCTCCATCATTATCTTTGTTCCTTGCCTCACCAGTAAGTAGCAACACAAGGCCCATAGCAAAGAAATCTGGATAATCTGCAAGGATGTGAGGCACATGCAGTGAGATACTCCTCTGCAGGGTCTGGGAAATGTGGTTCCCAATCAGGTTGTCAAAAGCAGAACTCCAGGCACGGGCCACACTGGCTGTACCTGTGAAGCAGACAGAGAAACAGGGTTTCAAATTCCTTTCTTCCCTTCCTCCCTCCCCATACCAGTTTCACACAAATCCCTGCCATGTTTTATCTATTCTCACTTCTTTAGAACAAAAAAAAAGTTAAGGAAATCAGGACAAAGGGTCATATAATTAACAATTTCTCCACAGTCCCACCCAACAAACACATTAGCTGTATTGAGGCTCTATGAATGAGGAACACCTCAGCTTCACCATTGCACTTGGCCCAAAACCCCTTTGTTGTCTATTTAGTTCCCCCCACCCCACCCCACTGCCCCATCTCACCGATAACATAGGAGAGGATGAGGTTCCAGCCTGTGGTGAAGGCCCAGAGTTCCCCCACCGTGACATAGCTGTAGAGATATGCAGAACCAGCACAAGGAACTCGGGCACCAAACTCTGCATAGCACAGCCCAGCCAGCACAGAAGATAAGGCAGCCACCATAAAAGAGATCACAATGGATGGTCCTGCTTTATCTCTGGCCACCTCACCAGCCAGGACGTACACACCTGCACCCAAAGTGCTGCCCACACCCAGGGCTACTAAATCCAGGGTGTTCAGGCATCTGGTAAGGCGAGTCTCAACCATGCCTGGCTCCAGTGCACGTCTGCGTACCAGCTTTTGACCAAATCTGCGAAGTGATTGCCACGGCATTCTAGTGGAATTTAAAAGGGTGCTAGGATCTAGTGGAAGACAAAACAAAAGCTCTTCAATGAGGTTCATTCTCCCGAGTTCCAAGACTGACTCACAAGACTCACTACACCAAGTAAAGGGGCTATAGACTCAAACTGCCAAACTCCAACTGCTATCAAGTTAATGCCAACTCACACAGGGTAGAACTGCATCTGGGGGTTTCCAATACTGTAATTCTTTACAGGATTAGAAAGCTCCACCTTTCTCCCAAGGAGCAGCTGGTGGCTTCAAAGTGCTAGCCTCCAAGTTAGCAGCTCAATGTGTACCCACTATACCACCAAGGCTTCCAAAGAGAGGAGACTCGAGGGTATTGTTGAAAAGACAAAGGTAAGACACTTTGCCTCTGATCTCAGGTTATCTGTATATAAGAATTACAATATAAAAAAAAAGAATTACAATATACCACAAGATTTTCAGGTCAGTTTCAGAGAAGGCGTGTGGAAGCTTCCTGTAGTACAGTGGTTGGCACTTAAGTAGGTATTCGGGCAATATTAGTTATCTTCTTTCCCGTGTCTGGAAACCCTAGGTTTTATCCTAGACCCAAACTCAGGAGCCCAGATCCTAATCTGTGTCTGTTTACTGGCCTGTGGCTCCTCGGGAATGAACCAGAACTCAACCTAGGAGTGACCAGTAACTCTGAGACAATCCCCCTTCTCAAATCCAATGCGCACATTCATTTTCAGAGCTCTCCTCCAGGGCTTAAAATAGGCATGCCTCCCAGACAACTCCTAGTGAAGGGGAACTAACCTTGGTTGCATCTAGCTACAAAGTGAATAATGACTTGATTCCATCTTTTCTCACCAAGCCGGCACTACAAAACTGAAGCTGCCGTCACCCAAGGGGTTAAGCAAATGCTCCCTCACTTCCTCCAGTACTGCGAGGCTGGCCTAGGATTCACCAACCTTGAGGAGGGTTTTGACATCTAAAGATTTGGAGATGCACCCCAAGAGGGGCCCCAAAGCAACCCAAGATATCTACACCCTCCTGTCTGCAATTGGGAGGGGCTCTGCCCGACACCCGCCTGTCTGCAATTAGGAGGGGCTCTGACCCAACGCCCCACAACTCAGCTCCCAGATTCTTGTGCCTCCATCTGGAAGCAATCTAAGACAAGAGAGAAGATGAGATCCTTAGCTCCCGGGGCTGGGGTCTTGCCAGCAACAGGTCACGGCCCACTTGATGCAAATACACACCAGGATGGCCAGAGAATTCTAGGTATGCCCAGACATTTGCAGCGTCCCCTCAAGCCCCAGTGTCGACCCCAAGGCTTACCTGAAAGGTATTGCAAGCCCAGGGAGTGGAGAATACTGGGTCCAGTTTGGTGAGGCTGAGAGTTAAGCTTTGTTGGGTAAGGGCTGGCGAGTTCCGTGCTTTAGGCTTCAAAGCTGCGGCTTGGGATCGTTGCGCGCCTATACATCAGTAGGCGGAGCTGGTAACGTCATGAGATCCCACCCTCCAATCTTCCTTACATTCCACACACACACACACACACACACACACACACCCCATGCCACGCCACATCAGACCGCATACTTCTTTGCTTTGCAAAAGGGACTGCTGCGTGGCACCAGCGACTGCTTCCCATCCGCGCAATTAAGCCCTGTCGGTGGGATAGAGAATGAGAAAGGGGGAAGGGCAGCCTTTTCTTATTTTCCTCTCAGTCATCAAAGCAGAGCAGTAAGAGGCTTCCTATGCAAGGACGCCCACCCCCAGCCCATTAATTTTCTACCTTTGTGCCTTGTTAGTCTGAATCAGTGATTCTGGGAGGAGTGAGGAGGAAAAAACAGCATGGGAGTCTCCATCTCACTCTCTTTCGATCTTCCTTAGCTTTCTTGTCTGTCTACACGGGATTCCCTCTCCCCTGTAATCTTTTTTAAGGATCGTGCAGAATTATGAACAGTCATTTGATTTTGACTCTACAACCCTCATCATCAGCTCTGAGTATTTCAACTATTACCTGTAGAGAGATAATCCCATCTAGATGCCCAGGTTCCAATCTCTCCATATTAAATATTAAATCGAGACAACAGTGGATAGGAGAAGAGTTTATTTAATTTCATTTTACAACTGAGAAAGCTGAGGCTCAGGGGCATGACTTGCCTAAGGCTACACCGTAATTATTTGTTGACAACCTTATTGATAGAACTTGGTTGAACTCCAATGTCTGCCTCCTATTAGTCACATACTTCATTCAAATGCACAAGAGGAGGAGTGGAATCAAACCAATCTGGGAAGGGCCAGCAGCAAGGGACACCTTTTTAGGCTAGGAGTTTCTAGGAAACAAAAGAAAAGCCTATATTGAGTCAATACTGACTCACAGCAATCCTATGTACGATTGTTTTCCCAAGATTTACATTTGTATCGGAACAGACAGCCTTGTTTTTCTCCTGTAGAGTAGCCGATGGGTTAGAACCTCCAACTTTGTGGTTTTCAGTTCACTGTGTAACCTACAGCACCACAAGGGTTCCGTGTGGATGTATAGGACGCTCTTACAAGCAGATTGCTGTTATGAGGTGCAGTTGAGTCTGTTTCAACTTACAGTGACCTTATGGGAGCCGCTTTCCCAGCCTTTCTCTGATGGATTTGAGCCACCAACCTTTGGGGAGCTGCTAAGCCTTTAATTAATCATTGGGCCACACAGAAGGACCTTGTTTTTGGTTTGTTTTAACTATGACCAAACAATGAAGTGTTCTAAGATGTACTAAGGTAGTTAATTGGTAAATGTTAATTGTCCATGTTTTTCCCTGAGCTTCAAGTTCCAAATCCTTAGAACCCTCATGTCAGTTGCTGAATAGTCAGTGATTTTTATTTCAATTTCACCCCATCAGAGCGTCTCTCAATTGCACATTGTCTCTCAATGCGCAATTTTGCAGTTTATTTTCTAAAATTTCTAAAGGATGAAAGCAAACACATTTTCATTACCGAAATATTCTAATGAATCCAAAGATAGACATAGGGGCCAACCTAACTCCATGGTTGCCTTTAGACTTGGTCCCTAAACATAGTAGTGCCCAGTGGATCTAGTGTTTACAGGGGGGAAAAACTTAAGCTTTCTCATTTGGGAGCCTAAAATATATTCAAATTGGAAGAGAAAAAATGGTATAAACTTTGAACAGTTTCCAAACATGGAGATATGAAATTTAAATCAGGCCTTTATTTTGAAAAGGAATGGCTGAAAGTCATTGTTCCAGAGTAAGGCTTAGAGAACAGTGTTTATTTTGTTTTCAGCCTCTGTTACTTGCTAGCTTTGTGTTTGTTTTACGCTAAGAAATTTTTTTCCAGTCAGTCTAATGATGCTGATAATGCATAAGTATTTCTCATCAGAAGACAGTAACTGAACTCAAATATTGTGAAGGAAAATAAATGCCTTATTTTCCCATTTAGGTGGTATTGCCCTTCAACATCATTTTCTTAAGACTAGTTTTAGGAAAGCTGCTCAAATTTGCTCACCTAATATAACTGAGTTAAATCATGTGACAAATGTGATTGTCCCTATACATTGTGTTATATTGTGAAGATTAGAATGACATTTTCAGGGTTTGAAAACTTTGGAAATCTTTTCTAGGTTGTACCTAGGAGCGAATACCTAGATAACCTATAAGGGGGCTTCAAGAAGTGCATTGTAAAATTCCATGATCTTTTCATTCCATTTTTCTGCAAACTTTCTGAAGTCACCATGTATATACAACCTTTAATGTGTCCCTGTTTGTACTAAATACGTTTTTTTCACAGGGAGTAGGGACTGCATGTATAATTTCAATTAACTGATGTTTCTGAACTCAACTTAATAATTAATTTAAATCTTGAACAGAAATATTTGCTAGAGAGCCTTGACATTTTTAAAAATTGTGAAGGAGTTGTCAGGTTCTGATTAACATCTGTAAAAGTAGAGTTAAAAAGAGTTGGCAAGATCTGCTACCCACAGTTTATCTTATAGACACTGATGGTGCTGTACTCTTGCAGATCTTTGTCAACTTATCTTAGCATAAGGCAAATATGTGGGAAGGTAAAATCGCCACTTAGGTGCATATGCTGTTACCTTTGTAAGGTAATTTGACATGTGATGTGAGAATTGTGGGTAAATGCATTGTCTTCATGGTATTTTGCAGCTTTCTTTTTTAAGCGTTTCAGATGTTACAGGTGATCATTATCCTGCAACTGCAGCCAGTACACCCCCAATAATTTCCAGGATCTTAATAAATTTTACTAGGGTTGTTGGCAACAAGCAGGATTGAATAGTTTTATTTCAGTCTTCAGTCCACTATCGTATACAAATGATGATTCATGTACAAATGATGATGGTCAGCCAGCTGAGAGATTTGGAGATGAAAATATATGACATAAGTAGTCTATTATGTAATGTCACTAACAGTAACATTAAGGACTTGGCTCCATAATATTTTCAAGCAGTTCTATATAACATTCCATCCATTCATAATGTGATTGACATGTTTTGCATTTAAAAGGAGTAATAGAGAACTTAGGCAATGTTTTAGTTGAAGAGCAAAAAAAAAAGCATCTGAATTATAGTAGCAAACCTCCAAATTGGGTATAGGAAGTTGACATAGAGAATAAACTTGGTTTTAGCTTCTCTTATCTCTTAACTACTTAAGACCACAAAATGGTATGTATGTCTTAAAGCAGAATTGTAACAGCAAATATGTTCATTTATCCAGATTTGATTTTATATGAATTAAAACTTAGGTTGCTTCCAAGTCTGGATACAAGTTTTATGTAAGAATACAGAATACCTTGTAAAGTATCTTTAATAGTAAAAGTACATGTTATCCTCTAATCTGTTTCATTTGTGTTGAACGTAACAGAACTGCTCAGTAACAGAATTCTGGCTGTTTGGTGAACTCTCTGACTAGCTCTTTGAGAATGTGACTGTTATAATTATAAAAAGTGTCCTCTAACATAAATTCTGGATATCACAGGTAGTACTCATAAATGCAAGGAAAGCGCGGCTGGTTATAAAGAACAATTGAATGACTAAAGTAATGTTAGAGCTATTTATCTCTCTGCTATATGCAGTAATCGAGTGCATTTAATAAGAGGTTGCTGCTTACGCAGTGTAGTCTGGATGTGTTGATGAATTTGCTGTTCAAGCCAATTTGAAATAAAATTTTCAGTTACCTGAAAGAAAAAAAATCCTAGTTGGAATTAGAGCAGTTATTAGATAGTATTCTACTATTTCAAATAAACATGTAAACATGTTAGCAGTAACTTAAATTATTTAAAATTTAAAGACAATTTGGATTTTTGTAAACTCTGAACATGGTAAAGCTATTTTTGTCACAAAAATAACAATAAAAACTCACTGCCATCACGTCGATTCTAACTTCTAGCAACTCCATAGGACAGAGTGTAGATTACCCTACAGATTTCTGAGACTTAACTCTTTATAGGAGTAGATAGCAGGTATCTCGGAAGAAAGGCCTGGTGACCCGTGTCCAGAAAGTCACCAGAACTGTGGAGTGCAGTTCTATTCTGCAACATTGCTTGTGTTTTGGTTTGTATCTCAGCATGGCGATATGAGTAGTTGGAGACCTTGTGGAATAGTGGTTTCCTGTTGGATTTCAATCTATAAGATCATCAGCTCGAAATCACCAGTGGCTCTGAGAGAAGAAAGGTGCTTTCTATTCCCATACAGTTACAATCTGGGAATCTCACAGGTGTATTTTTACCCCGTCCTATAGGGTTGCTATGTGTCAGCATCGACTTGATGGCATTGAGTAATGGAGAACTATGAGGGGCTTCAAAAAATTTGTGAACGATTTCCTTTATCTTTTAATTCATTTTTTCCCATACGTGTTTTTAAATCAACTCATGTGACTGTCCTCTTACTCTAAAAGTGATAGAAATTCACCAAAGCTGAGAATAGACAAAATCAGGAGTAAAATGTATTTTAAGATATAAATATTTTGTTTAGCTGAAGTAGTTAACCAAGTGTTGCAAGCAAGAGATGGTGACAAACAAAACTGAGACTCATTTAATAAACTCAGGAATAGCATGTGAGACTACAGGCAGTTTTCCAGGGACTGAGAGTGGCTGAAATAGGAAGTCAGACTGATATGTAGGCTGGAATGTTGTGATGATGCTCCACTGGTGAAACTAGGGTTGGCAAGTTAACAGGTGTTGAGGTGCCATAGGAAAGCTGAGTAGCATCACTGGTTAAGAAAGAGCAAGGCTAATGTATGAAACCTGATATTAAGGGGGGGGAAGAAACCTGGTATTAAATTCATTACTATTGAGTGGATGGATTCTGACTCATAGAGATCCTATAGTGCACAGTAGAACAAACTGCCCCTTTGGGTTTCTGAGACCTTTTCGTTTTTTATGAGCGCAGAAAGCTCTCATCTTTCTCCTGAACAATATGCCTGGTGGGTCTAAACCGCCGACCTTGCACTTAGCAGTTTAATGGGTAGACCACTATGCCACCTGAGCTCAGAC